CATATACCAAGCAGACTGTGGATTCATGTGAGTGTCATTACTATGCCTAACTTCTCATTGACAAAGCTATCTTTTTCCTCCTGTGCAGGCTTCTGACAAACATAGAGACATCAAGTTTCTGTATACTATATATAGTCTAATACTGTGTATTGTCATCAGCATTAACATCTTTGATAGTACTAATGGAGCTCTAGGATCAATCTTAGGAGTGCCTCCATTGATGTCTTGCAAAATAGGATTACATTAATTTTAGGTACACCTCAACCTAATGGTTGAAACTTATTGTGTCGGTTGTTCTTTTTAGCATCATATGGAAGCTGCTGAGATTTGATAGTGTCAATTTGTCACCATTTTGTTTGTTACTTTCATTGACAAAGATGTGTTACAAAGGGAGAAAACAAAATCTTTTTATTTTATTTTATTATTTTGTGATTGAATATGCTGTAACCTTTTGAATCTTCATTTGTCCTTTAACACATTTCATATACAGATTCACTATATTCTTTCACACTATCTTTCTTCATTTTTCCTCTATTATCCTTGCTGCAATTTATGTGTTTTATTTTCAACTATCAGTTTTCTTTAGTCAAACCCCTTTCTTCTCTGAAAGATATTACAATGATGGTGCATCTTATTTTAACATCAGAGGATATTAATGTAACAAGTGCATGCATCTGAGTACTTGAAGTAACTTAAATGCTACCTTTTGCAGTGTATTAACAAGTGTAATGAATTCCAGGGTTGCTTGCTGAAGGCTCTGACTCAGTAGCAGAAGCAGAAAGTGCTGTACTTGAAAGCATAAGTAGGTAAGTCAATATTTTCATTTCATTTTCTGGATCATTTTGTTATGGAAAACTAACAGGCTATTTTGATGTGAGTTGCTAGTCATGCTAGGGCAGTAGTGGCAACATTAGGTGGAAAACATGGTGCCGCTGGAAGATCTGATAAATGGCAACATCTTTATGCAGGATTTACTGTCTGGTTGTCACAGACTGAAGCACTAGGTGATTTTTGTTGATCAATCTCAGTTGCTTTTTACAGAATATGTCTTAAGTCCAACCTTATTTTGAACCTTCAAATTTATTCATGACTTGATTTCAAAAAAGAGACTAAAGTATTTACGAGTGGATGATTTAGGAGTGGAAATGGGAGGGACAGAAGGTTTCAAATAAATCTCACCCTTGTTTGGGAAGCTTTTTAATGAGGAAGAGAAGTGGAAGATTACAACATGTAACTCCAAGTAACCTTCCCTTGTAATTATAAACATCTTACTGCACCAATGTGGAGTAGTTAGGAGGGTTTTAAACATACAAAGGGAAGGAAACTTCTTAATTCACCATTCATACTCCACCCTCCCTCCCCCTTCATTTTCTTTTAATTCCTTCCCCAAACTTCCCTTACATATTTCCTTGCATGGTTGCTTCAGCATGTTGTTTTGAGTGAAAATGATTTAGATATTTTGAAATACAGATGAAGATTCTGCAAGGGAGGAGACCGATAATAACGTCAAAGATGGCATAATTTCATACACAAATTCAGATGTGGTTGTTAAGCTACAGGGCTGGGATCCTGCTTATACCAAAAATGTAGCACAAGCATGTTTAAGTGCCCTAAAACAGTTAATCCTGTCAGACAAGAAACTTCCAGGTTGATCCAATGACTCCCATTCATTTGTCATTTCATCTCGGTGGTAAAAAATTTGAGAGTAAAATGTCACCTCAATTCAACAACATTTCTCTTTCTAGTATAGCTTTTCATTGAGATTAAGATGTTATTTCATGTGATAAAATGGACAGACTGAATAAGAAGGTTTAAAATTAGGAGTGCATCACTAAGGTTTAACTCAATATGTTGAGTAAAATGCATAAATTATTGTTTGACTTCCAGATACTGAGTTGGAATCCAACGGATTAAAAAAAATGAGGAGCGTATTTTTGATTGAAAGTGGGAAACTTAGACTTTTTTATTAGCCCTTGATTGACTTCATCACTATCATCTTTCAGGTAAAAAAAGCCTCTACATAAGACTGGGATGTCGCGGTGATTGGCCAAACATCAAACCCCCTGGTTGGGATCCATCAAGTGAAGGTAACGCAACTCTTGGCACACAGTAATGTTGCTTGAAATTAGTGAGTAACATGTAATTTGTTTACACAAGTGTATCCACCACAAAGGTAATATAAGAGACAGCTTCAGTTGTTCATATTGTTTGTTATTCTAGGTAGCAAAACCAATGCTTTATAGTTTGATAACTATGTGATGGATGGTGTAACATAACTAAGGTCTTCTTGGTCGTAAAACTGATCATATGTGAATTGGTAGTGGCCAAATGATGATTGGCTGATGGGTAGACGGATTTGGTAGCTGACATAGAGTAATAACATCCATCCACCCCATTTTGGAGTGGATTGAGATAGAAATAGGAGAAATAAAGATAAAAGATAAAAGGTAAAGAAAGTAATAAAAATGATTGGTATCGTGATGGAAAAAGAAGAGATAAGAAGAAAATAGGGTGGAAGTGGAATAAAGAACATGTACTCACCAAAAAAAAAATAGATGTATTGTTGGCTGATATAGAATGTGATTCACCGTTAAATCTATAGATAACAAAATTCAACCTTCCACTCCTATAATAAACACGGCCCAAGTTTATGTATGGCTATGATTTTCTGGTTTATCATGCCCATCTGTTGCAAGTATAAACATTTAAAAGATTCAGATGACAAAACTTGATTAAAAAAAAATGAATTTTATAGAATGTGAATTTAGGGTTTCAATTTGGGACTGTCTTATTCGAGTGAAATATGATTTATGGATTTTATTTGAGAGAAATTAAAATAAAAGTGTATCTTTACAAAGATTTTACCAAAAATATAACTTAAAAAAATTCAATTGTAGTAATTCATTTATTTATTTATAGGAATTACAATATGATTCGGATATAAAATTCTATGTATACTATTCTTAACTCCACTACTAGTAGTAGATTAAAAAATTTAGAGATTAAATTTGAAAAAAAATAAACTAAATAAAGGACAGGTTAAATTTTTTATTTTTTTTTTAACTTGATGTTAAAAATGTTATAAAAAGAGTGAGTTTTAATTTTAGTCTTTGTAATTTTATTTTTATTTTTTCCCGTTTAAAATCTAAAATAAATGCTTTTGATTTTCTCATATCATACTGAATTGGTTATCTTCCAGGAAACACACTTTCCTCATGACGTACAATTTTATCATTTCTCCAACCTGCAACACCAGGAGTTCAAAGGATGTTCCTAATAATCATTTATCAAACCTTGGACAAACGCTATCGTAAAAAAAAAAAAAAAAAAATGAACAAACGCTCACTATTTTTGCATTTCACTCAGTTATTAAGCTCCTTCTATCAAATGCTAATGACTAAACCTACGACTCAGCCAGGAAAAAAAAAAAACTACGAATATGATAAACGTATCCCTCTTATTCTTTTGGTAAGAAAAAATGTTATTCTTAAGAAAATCACATTTTCATACTTCCTCCGTCATATAATGCATATAATAAATGTAATCGCATATTATTATGATAAAATTTTAATTGTGATTAGATAATAATATTAATCACACTTAAAAAATTATAATTAAATTTTATCCATAATATACTCATCTTACTAAATCAATACTGTAAATCAGCTTAATAACTATGGGTAAAAAGGTTTCATCAGATCCAAAACTTGAATTACACCTGATGTATTATTCCTAATTAGGTCTTTTAAATAATTTGAATCAGCATTCGCAACTGATGCAGAAAAGCAAATGCCATACTTCAACGTGCCATATGACTGGATGTTAACCTGCTTTTAGGAGCATGGTCAAATAAAATCATTAATGTTCAACCTACAAGTTTAAAATAAAAACATGCAGATATAATGAAAAAATATCGAGACGAAGTTTTTTTAACTCAATCAGGACGAGAATTTTGATAGTCATTTTTCAACAAAAATCAAGTAAATTCTATTTTTCTTTTAAACACTTCTCTAATAATTACCTGAACGATAGTTCTGTTCCTGGCTGAAACGTCCAAAGCTTCAACAGTGACAAAAAAGACTGTTGATGAGAGGAAGACATTCAATTCATCAGATTTTTATACTGTAGGCTTCACACATCAAGGCATGATAAATTGTAAGTTACAATTTTCTTAGCACAAAAGATGCAGCCTGACATATGCTTCATTAGCACAATTGCAAGAGTTCCATGGCAGCATAAAACTACGTGATCTCTGGAGTCATTCTAGAAGAAAGACTTTAACAAGATTATACAGTATACAGCATCAAAGAGACGGGCAAGATAATCTCAAATGAACTAGAGGCTAGTTTACCAAGAATTTAAATAAAATAAAATATAAAAAAAAAAAAAACTCTATCCACTAGAATAATTGGTCAACCAGTCAGCCGAAAAACACGGCACTCATCCGTGATAATTAGGACCAAGAAGTTTTTATAATGAGTTAAAATAAGAGTACAAGGATGAGTTGATATTCAACACAAATCTGTCCACAACAGTCAATCACAACCCAACCTTGAGTTGTAAAAATATATAAAACACTCGCACCTAAATAGATAAGAAAATACATTACAATTCACAATCCATATCAGAATAATAAAATCAGCAACAGTCTATAAACGACAGATTGAAGAAAAATTGTCCCTAAAAGATGTTATATACACATTTTATTTTCCAAAGAATCTTAAATTAAAAATGTTATTTTTCATGTTTAATTTATTATTTAAAAATATTATTAAGAAATATAACCACAGAAATAATTTTTGCATAAATTTTTCCCAAAATTATTTCTAAAGGAATATAAGAATCTAACATTATCAAACTAAAAAAAAGGGTTTATATCATATTTTATCTGCTTATTTGATGCAATAAAAAATTTTAATCCCCAAATAAATTTTAATAATTAAATCACAATTGATGAGGTGTATAAGTCACAAAAATCATAATTCCCGAACTTGAAAAAGTTTTCCAAATACCAAAGGCCTTCCATAAGATACTTCAAACACTACCACCACAAGTCGTTCAATACACCGATTCATTATACAACGTAAACACTTTTTGCCGTGAAAAAAAAAAAAAGGAATATCCAACTTTTTAGTTGTTATTATAAAAAACCCTACAAAACAAGAGGATTGACAGGGCATCTATTGACAGATGGTTCAAAATAAACTAATGAAATTCCAGTTGCACGTAGTCCTAATATAAGTCCAAATGAAGAAGGCAAAAGGAAATGAAAAAGAAGATAGTGTCTAGGAGATAACAATATCACAACTTCTATTTGATTTATCCAGCAAACTGTATGACATTATACGGCCTCAGTCTTCCTGCTTGTTTGAGTCTTTCAATTCACCATTGGATGGTATCTGCAAGCAGCCAGTTAAACATTCAGGAGATACAACCACATTGCAGAAGGCGAGCACAATATTTCAATTTTTTGAAGAAATATGAACAATATAGCCTAACCTACTTAACAGCAAGTAATTTCTTTAGGAGGTATAACCACAGTTGAAGACCCATTACAAGATTTAAAGCCAAATCAATTTGGAAAAAAAATCCGCACCTTGAATTGAAGATTTGTTATTGTAGCTCTCAACAGATCATCTCCAACTATTAACCTCAGCATCTTCACAAAATCATCCCGGGATATCTGCTTTGACTGGATTAAAACAGCATCAAATGTTAGAGCTATTTCATAAATCAATGAAATAAGGCATCAAGTGGTATTTTACATACCCTGAATTGATCATAATGTCCTTTGATACGAATCATATCCTTGGGAGGAACCTGATTCCTGATAGCAGCAAAAAGCACAGGAAAAGGCATCCAAGGGGATTTTGGAATTTTTGGAGTGCTAGCAACCATACTAGGAGCTTTTACCTAAGGAGGTAACCCACAACCAAAAGTTATATGAATAATGCTCTATATGTAAAAGCAAGAAAGCTAAACAACACAGGATTTAAAACCAGAAGACAGTTTTCACAAGCACAATAAAACCCTAAAAGTGGTATTTTTCCTCCCAAAACACTAAACTATGAATTTGTCCTTGCAGCCGTAGAACAGACTTGAATTCCAAAACAGTGAATGCAAAAGCTAAATATTCACAGAAGTGGAAGCAACAAACTTTCAGCCCTTAATCACCACCCTATAACTTTCAGACTATATCTTGCATGGCCACACCCTTGTGAAACATTCAATTCCTCTAACTGCTGATAACTGCTTTTTTTCTATCAGAATAGATCAACCACATCACTTTTCACCATATCAAGAGAAATATTAAAACAAAAAGATATTGGAAATATAAGGTATTAAAAAATAGTTATCATTATAATCCTTGGAAAGCATTAGATGCAAAACTCAAATATCAAATAACTTACATTATCAACTGTAGAAGATTCTGACTGTAACAGGCCATAAGGACCGTGACAGGCTGTATTAATCCCAGAAACATTCTTACCCTCACTTCCATAAAATCGACCTGAAAAATTGCATCATGAATAAATGATCAATAAGAAAGAATCTATTCACACAACTAAGAAGCAGAATTCGCTGGCTGTTTCATTTAACCAGAGTGAAGTTATTAATCTAATAAATGTAGGATAGACCCCATGGAGATATCACCAATATCTTCAGATGAATTGCTGTTTCCTAATACTAATGGAAAGAAATAACCATAGATATCAATTAGTTTGCCGTTTGCTCAATTCATTGAGTACTAATTACACTATTAAAATATACAATTTGTTTTTGCAAGGAAAATAAAAATGAACTGTAAACATAAAAAAAAATAATAACAAAAGGAACAATGTATCACCTTCTGCATCAGAAGAGACCTTGAAGCTAAGTACGAATTCTGGATAGATGTGAGTGTTCACGTTCATATTCCACACCACATAGCATTTTGGGCATTGAATGTCATCCACCCCATTATCATATTCACAACTACTGGGATGAAACTGACTGCTGCCGGGACGGAGAATCTCCATGTTTCCCATTATTACGCGGCAAAGGACCAAGTGTCGAACCCCATTTTCGTCAACATCACAAAAACGCACACTGCATATTTGGGAAAATTGAAGAATTCTTTAAGTGTTCCAACAGAATAATCTATAATATAAATGCCAAATAGTAACATAATAAATTGGACAAAAAATATAATATCAGGAAAGAAGTGTATATATATAAGAAAAATATAAACTAGAATATATAAATATATATTGTATGCAACAACACTTAAAAACAAAAGACAACAATAACACCAAAACAATTAAGAATAAGAAGGAAAAATTGCTCATCAGTCATTACTCAACCCCCAAAGTAAAAGGAGAGCAGCAAAAACTGATAATAGATTATTCCTGCAGTTAAGAATAATCACAATATAAACAGTACAGGACAAGAAAAAAAATTGTTGAAGAGAGAATTATGGTAAATATTGGATGTGAAAATGATCAGACTTTTACATAAGAAAATCTCCAACGCATAAACACATAATATATTGCACTTTTATTAATGTCTGGACTCTGGACAACAATGTTTATATTTGAAAAATATATGAATGTATATACTTCAAATTAGGTAGACCACAAAGAAAGAACACTGCACATTAATCTAAATTAGAGACTATGACTCCAATTATAATTCAGTAGAGGTAGATTTTAGTCACCAATGGCATTTGAAAATAAAGGACAACTTGCTCATTAACCATCAGAAGCCAGTATATCGACATCAATCTTAATTTTACCCAGTCAAATATAAGCCACAGATAAGTTTATCAACATTTTTAACATTATTTAAAAGATTTTATTGTTCAGGTTAGATGATATCAAAACTAACCTGGCATCAGGGCAGGTATCAGCTGCAAGATGAACACCAATGCCATATGTGCATTTTGATCTAGATAGTCCACAATGACCAAGTCCATACTGCATCATTGTAGATAGTTCTCCTTTAGAAGAAGCAAGCCAAGCATATCGAATGTTAGCTTCCCCATGAATTTTTTTGGTAATTTCAGCTTGCTTATGGAACAGCTCCCATCGTGCTTGCATTGACGCACCTGAGCAGTGGGAAATCTCAACTATGTCAGAATCAGTACTGCCAAAACTATTCATTCCCTTAAGAAACATCTTTTGTACAGAATTCAAATCCAAATTTCCATATATCAATTCAGTATACGCATCTAAACCTATGTCTTGATTTTGCTGAATAGCTTCCCCAACATTTCCACAGTCCTTTTTGTTAATGCTATCTTCAACTTCTACATCATATTGACAGCAGTTTTGTTTAGTGTCAATTTGAATACCCTTAACTAGAGCATTGGACTCTCCACTACACTCACTCAACCTGGATTGATCCACTCCATTTATTTCAACTTCTAAATGTAATTTTATTTCATTAGATTCATACGATTCCTGACTTTTTCCACTTTCTTGTTTGACGAAATCATAAGGTTCTTCATCAGAAGCAGCATAGATTTCAGGGAAAAAGCAGCTCCCCGCTTCATCAATCCAAGCTATAGGTTGTTGCAAGCCAGTTTTCAAGTCCACCTTATGCAGATGAAAAAAATTAAACACAAGATGATACCCATTTAACTCCACTTCCACGGCGACCTTCTTCTTGACTTCAAGATCTTTCTTAACCAAGTCAACAACGTCCTTAGGAAAATCCAACCATTCACCATTCTTATAGAACATCAAACGCTCCAGTCTCCCACTCTTTTTATAATTCAGAAAACGTCTAACTAAAGACTGTCCAATATGAGGACCAGCATTTGTCAGCTTGTTTTTATATCCACCCAATCTCCTCCGTTTCACAACCCTGCTTGTTGGTGACGTAAATGATGGCCAATGACCTAACGCTGGTTGCGAAGCTCCACTTAGAAGTGCAGCATATCGGGTCGCTCGCTTGCGCTTCAGATTGAGTCCAACCCTATCCAATGCCTTTGCGCTTTTTGCTTCCATTTCTATCAACTAGATTAATATCTATAAACACGCTTAAATTTAAAAGCTCAGGTGCAGCAGTTAAATAGAACCCTAGACCTTGAGCAGTTTCAAAGAAACTGTGGTGGCAATGGTGAAGACCGTGACATCAAGATTCAAGAATATTTGGCAATCCCTGGATATTCAAAACTTCTGAGAATATTGAACTAATACATAGGATAGATAATGGGCACATCATTATAAAGTTAAGATAAGGAATAAGAGGTTAATCAATAAAAGCATTCCCTGCATAACAAACCAAGTAATCTGAATCACTTGCACAGTGACATATTGCAAAAGTAATATATCCAACAAGATTAAAAAACAATAGAGTATTGAACTTATAAAACATACTACAAGAGTGATCAACATCCATAATACAGTACATTAATTTAAACTCGTATTTAAGGTCAAAAAATGCACCTAGTGCACCCAATAGAAAAATTATCTTACAAAAAAAGCTGTATTTCTTGTAGCAGTGCCGGTATAATCAGATAAACTTAAACACCAAGAAATTCACAACTCAAACTTAAGAAATACCACGAAATTGACCAAAGGCATGAATACAAATAAATTTACGCATACCCAGCACTGCATTTAGTGTTCATACTGTACATCCTTTTCCCCCGTAACAGCTCTGCTCCTGATGATGGAATTTAACATAATAAAAATTCATAAAATTAAATGAAAAAAAAAACTGCATAATTGTAACCTAGTCAGTCAACGACCACGACCAAAGACACCATATCAATAATCGACAAATCAAAACACCCCCAATCAAAAAAATAATTAAATCAATATCACTTCTAAAATCAAAATCAGGTAAAAAACTTTCGAATAACCAGCAAAATCAGTTCAAACACCAAGAACAACCAAACTGAACCCCGATCTACTAACTCCAAGCCCCAATTTGCAAAGTCAAACCGACACGCAAAAAAAAATCCAAAACCCTAGCAGTTATTCAGATTCCGAATCGAAAAGCACATGGAAAATCGAGAGAAGCTTTAGAAATTACCTGAGAGCACAAACACGCAAAACAACAAATTACCTATTTACTAAGATAAATTTTCCACCTCTTTTTTTTTTAGCTTATTTTTTTTTTCTTCTTCTTACTTTCTATTTCCAATTCCCCAGTGCATCGGAGGGATAGGATCCTATATACACCGTTCTTCGCTGAGAGCGAAAAACCCTAACTAGAAGGATCGGCGAATGGAGGGTTAGGTGAAAACAACGCCTGAAAAACACTGATAATAGAGGCGTTTCCCCTAGATTCTGCAATTCTCGCTACCCCTTTTCCAAGTAAACCCACGCAACATTCACACTAGGGCTTTGATATTCTCACCCGCATTCGCCTCTTTCTTTGGTCACAGCCCCCGTCTTATTGGACCGTCATTGCTCGCTCGTGCCACGTTTTCTTTTTTCCTTTTTCTAATTTCTTGTTTTCCAATTTTCCCATCCACATCTTCTAGTGCTTCTCGAACGTCTTTTTTAAACATATAATTTCCTTATTTTTTAAGAGATAGTACATGTGTTTTTTTTTTTCTTTTTTCTTTCGAATATGTAGTTCACGTGGTTTAGTTGTTGATGAGCAGTTTGACTAAATAAATGTAACAAAAAAAAAACAATAAATGTATTTTTACAGATTATAGATTTTTAAGAAAAGAGGAGCGTTGTATTGTATTCATGCTTTGGTCAATTCTCTGAACAAAATAACTTTTCTCTAAGTATAACTCTTAATTTTAACAAATTATAAAATTATTATAATTTTAAATAAATTATAAAAAAAATTATTTATGTAGTTACTTTTTTAAAGTTATGCAAATATATATGACTTTTAAAATTATAATTATTATAAAATATTTGAATAGTTTAATTGTAGTCTTTTGGGGAAATGGGTGTGGAGTGTCTAAATCTTTGTGGGTCCAAGTTGTGAAAGCAAGGTATGGTTCATTATCCTCTTTGCTAACCTCGGCGGTGGTGGATCCAAAAGCATCGATTTGGTGGAGGGATTTGGCGGTGGTGTGTCGTCAAGCGGGCGTTTGGTTGTCGTCAAATTTAAGTCGTATTCTTGGTGATGGTAGAACGATTCGGTTTTGGATAGATAAATGGTTGGGTGATGAAATTCTTGTGGATGTGTTCCCTCGTTTGTTCTCTTTAGCAATGAATAAGGAATCGTTAATAGCTGAAAATGGAAGCTTTGATGGGTCATCGTGGAATTGGGCCTTGGTTTGGCGTCGACCTTTATTATTGCAAAGGGAAATTGATCTTGCTCATGAACTACAGGCGATGATTGAGCTTGTCCAACCTAAGGTGCACATGGAGGATTTGTGGTTATGGAAGTGTGACTCATCGAAAGCATTCACAGTGCGGTCGGCATATGATTTTGTGTACTCTTTCTATAATATAGGTGAGGTGGTGGATGAGGTTGTAATGCTGGCATTGCGGCGTATATGGAAAACCAAGGCACCGCGTAAGAGTATGGTTTTTGCTTGGCAATTATTACTCCGGTCATTGCCTGTGCGTCAAGCTTTAGTGCGGCGGGGAGTGTTGCTTATTCACGAGGATTGTGTGTTTTGTAATAACAGGGAGGAGGATGTGACACACTTGTTTCTACATTGTGATGTTGCTAGCTCAGTTTGGTATTCATTATGTCGGTGGTTGGGTTTTTCATCATGTTTATCAGATTCTGTGGAAGGCCAATTGTTGACTATGAGTGGTTTTGTTGCTGGGAAAAAACCTGCTCGTGTTGTTGTGACTATTTGGGTTGCAACTGTGTGGAGTTTGTGGCTACACCGAAATAAAATAGTGTTCAATAATGGAGTGTGTGATGTACTTGAAGTAGTTGAATCTGTTAAATATAGATCATGGAAGTGGTTAACAGCAGGGATGAATCATGGAAACATTCCATTTGTAAATTGGCTTAATGAGCCATACCATTATTTTTCAAGTTTCTTGTAATTTGTAATGGTGAAAGTTTCCTTGTACTCTCAATTTCTTATTTCTTAAATAAAACGTTATTGATTATCAAAAAAAAAATTCAATGTTGTAATTAGTGTGTATTGACATTTGATAAGGACTTCTTTTTAATAACAAACTTATATTATTTTCAAAGAAAAATGTTTATCAATATAAAGTATTACATGTTGAATATGATGGAGGTAAGGTGAATTTTTAGAAGTTCTAAGTCATGAATTAGTATCTAAGGAGTCTCCTACAATGAGACATTAATTCCAAATTTTGATAGATGTTAAATAGTTTGTATCAGTGGTTTAAAATCTGGATCGAACCGGCCGGTTGGACCGAGAATTGATAGCCGGTTCGAATATTAAGTTAGATCAGTTATGCAGTCGACTCGTTTCTAACCGGGTTGAACCGGTTAATTTTTCGATTCTACCAGTAAACCAGTGGGTCAAATCGGTTTAACCACTTTTTTTCTAAAAAAATTTTAAGGGACCATAAACCACAAAAATAATAATGAAAATTGAATCTCTTAATGAAAGAGCAAAGAGTCTTATTAAATATAACAATGACAATTTATTTTAATGTATTTACTTGTAATATATACAACTTAAATAACTTTTATAGTATATTATTAATTTTAAATTATATATTTAATAATATAATATCTATGTAGATATTACATATATTATTTTGTGATATCAATTGTAGTATATTATATATGTACATATTGTTTATATTTGATATAAATTTATTAAAATTTATAAATATAAAATATATTTAATATGAATATTTTTTTAATAAAAATAAATAAAAAATTAAGTCATGCGGTTTAACTAGTGACCCACCGATTCAACCTTTGACCCATTAACCCAGTACCTTAACCGGTTCGATGACCGGTCCGATTTTTAAAACTATAATTTATATATTTCGTTTAAATAAAGCTTGAAGAAAATAAAGTTTGAAGAAAATAAATAGGTTTTTTTTAATAATTAAATTGATGATTGTAAAATGATCAATTACTTTATTTTTACAAACATAAGACAAATATGTTTTGTGGCCCTTCAATAGTTTCAAAAACTAGCAACTAGCATCCCTCAAAACAATCAAATATATACCAACACTAAATTTGTTATAATTAAAGAAGAAAATCACAACAATATTATATTTCAAGGTATTAATCATAAGGAAAATCATTTTAATTAGATTTGTCGCTTGAAAGAATGATAATGAAAATCTCATTTCTACTTAACTTTCTCAAACACTCAATAAAAATATTACACACAATAATTTGTAATATAATATATATTAAATTTCGATGTTCAAATTTTTTAGTTATTTCGTATTATTATAATGATTTTATGTAAATTAATCAATTAATTTTATAAGTAATATTTATTTATATTTTTTAAAAAACATATTATACATTAATTTATTTAACAAAATATTTTTTTTTCTTCAAATTTTATAAAATTTTGTATACTTTATATTTTAATAAAAAATCAATTTAACAATCAAATTATTAAATTTAATATATATTATAAATTATCAATAAAATATTTATATTCATAATTATTCTTAATATAACTTAATTATAATTATCCAATTTTTGTATATTATGATATTATCATAATGATAATACATGTCAAATTTTATATAAATTGGATATTTATAATTAAATAATTTTATAGTTAATATTTATTTATATTTAGAAAAACATATTATATTTCGATATGATATTTAATAAATTATTAGATAGATTATGAGATATCGTATCTATAATAATAATTATTTAAAAAGATATAAAAAAATATTTTTTTTTACATTTAATTCATCTTATATATATATATATATATATATATATATATATATATATTTTCTTTATAATAAGTATAAATAAAATATTTTTAGATTTATAAAATTTTGGTTCAATTAGTTATAAATTATGAAATACTTCGATATGAGTTTATTTATAAATTCATTTTGGTTGAATAAGTTATTTTGGTTCAAATAGGCATAAGAGAATCTTTTTAAAGACATACCACAATCTATGATTCATTTTGGTTCAATTAAGTTATTTGTGGTTACAAAACATTGTAACAAAACAACCAGTGACAAAGCAGAAAATAAATTTCTGTGTCCCCCTACCGCCCCCCTCTTCCGATGGCTCTCCTCGCCGTCACTTCCCGCACTCCGATCCTCTTCTCACACAACCCTAATCCCCTTTATCTCTCATCTCTCCACTCCCACCTCTCTCTCTCTCCTCGCCCTCTCAGGTTCCCTTCTCTCCGCTTCATCTCCGCCACCGCCGGCGACGCCGACGCCGACGCCGCCAAGCCCGCCCCCAAGATCTCCGACGAGTGGGGCGAGGACTACGAGCCCGAGGCCGAACCATCGTCCTCCAAGCTCCCCGATTCGGACCCTCCCAAGGACGAGGACGAATGGGAGGAAGGAGGGGCAGCCGGCGCCGGTGGCTACATCGACGGCGGGAATGGGATTCCGGCCGCCGATACCGAGTCTCCGGTGGAGGGGCTGAAGCGTGCTCTGGTGGACACGGTGTATGGGACCGAGTTAGGGATTCGGGCTGGGTCGGAGGTCCGTGCTGAGGTGTCCGAGTTGGTGACTCAGTTGGAAGCGTCGAACCCTACCCTTGCCCCTGTGGAGGAACCTGCCCTACTTGATGGAAATTGGGTGTTGCTGTAAGTTTTAATTCCTTTACCAATTGTGATTTTTTTTTTTTTTTTGCATGTAAAAAATTGTAAATAATCTCATGATTTGTATGTTATTGCATGAATGAATATTAGTCACTAAAACTGAGTAATTATCAAATAAGTCCTTGAATATCGTTAGAAATGAAGAAATTTTCAAATAAGTTCTTAAAAATATCAAATAAATTCTTAAATTTAAAATATCAAATAAATTCTTACATTTAACTATTTATTGTCATTTTGATATCTGAATATTTATTGATATTATGGCTTTAATTACACTCTTTTTTTTTAGTTTTTGACTACTATGATCTTGAATTTGGACTTTCAAGACGTATGTAACAATTTCTTAGTTTCAGAACTAATATAAATATAACATTGTTTTCCAAATTCAGGGACTAATTTAGGTTTATACTTTTATTGCATGTTGAAAAATAATGGTCCTCTTTATATTAGAGCTTTGCATTGCTTGTATCAGTTGTTGTTGATTTAAGTTCTTTTGTTTATTTGCTTGTCAAACTGATGTAGGTACACTGCGTCTTCTGAACTTTTGCCTCTTCTAGCGGCAGGAAGATTGCCTTTGTTGAAAGTGGACAAGATTTCACAAACAATTGATACCAGTAGCTTCACCATTATAAACTCCACAACATTGTCTAGCCCTTTTGCGTCTTTGTCTTTCAGTGCATCTGCCTCGTTTGAAGTTCGAACCCCCTCAAGGATACAGGTATTTCCCATGAAAACGTTAGTATTTTACAAAAGCAAATTTCTTAGTCAAAAAGGCAAAAGGTTCTACAGGTGAAAGGTGCCAAAAAGTGCATTCCTAGTTGAAGAAAGATGTTAATATTAAAACAAGAAGAAAAAAAAAAGACTAAAATATTTCACTATATTGCATTAGTTTACCATATAAATTAACTATTCAGGCTGTTAAGAACTTTTAAGGTGACGTTCTTAGTAAAAATAAGAGATCAAGATGCTTTACAAAACCTTGAGTTGGTTGCTCGTAAGAGCCGCAAAGCATCAGACTCAAGTTAGATGGTTGCCCATATGACTTTTTTCAGCTAATAGCAACTCATTAAGGGTGCCCCTCACCTGAACCAAAAAGGCATGCATCTCACTAAAAAGAGAGGGGGGCAGTGACTCAATCAGCAAGAGGTGCTGGCCCTTCTCTCCTCACTTTAAATCCTCAGTTGTGCATTTGGGCACCTTATAGTGATTTGGCCAAAAGAAAAAGAAAGAAGATACATGATAATCCGTGTACCTGTACACAACTTAATGGATGCTGAATTAGGATTTTATGGTTCTTCCAACATAGATGTTTCTTTCAGAAGCTCTTCTGATCTGCTCTTGTATTGTGAAAACTGGCAATTGTTCTTATTACTATGGGGGCAATAATAAGACAATGTAGATAGAAAAATTATTATACTTACCAGATTCTGTGCCTTGTATTCTTCTGGTGCTTCAAGAGTTCATCTTATCATATTCGTACTTAAGTAGTTAAATTCATGATTGCTTCAATTCTATCATGCAAATATGATTTGTATGATGCTTATTGTTAATGATACTGCAATCTTTATGCTACCAAATGTTGTAGGTTGCTTATTAGTTTGAACAGTGTACATGTGAACCTTTTAGATTGCAGATGACTAGAAAACTCTTGCTAACATTTCTAAACGCAAGCAGGTCACATTTAAAGAAGGTTCAATACAGCCTCCAGAGATAAAGTCTAAAGTTGAACTTCCAGAAGATGTAGAAATTTTTGGCCAAAAGCTTAGCCTACTGCCTCTGCAACAATCCCTTGGTCCACTGCAGAATGTGGTGGAAAACATATCGCGTGTCATTTCTGGTCAGCCAGCTCTTAAGATTCCCATTCCTGGCGAGAGGACAAGCTCATGGCTTCTTACTACATATCTGGATAAGGATTTGCGAATATCAAGGGGGGATGGGGGTCTTTTCATCCTTGCCAGAGAAGGGAGTACCCTTCTTGAACAATAGGAAAGTTATTATACACCTTTCTTCCTTCTACCATCCCCTCTCCGACCCCTGAGAATAATAATGTCAAAGATTTATTCAAAATGTCTCAATTCTTTATGTTTCTTTCTTCCCAAGCTGATGTATATTTAAAGGAGTGACGACGGGTTATATTATCAGGCTGTAATTCTACATTCTATACATTGTTGGAAAGATAATGTAAACCCTAAATAGCTTCGGTGACATATTGCTTTGGGAAAGGATTATGAAATCAATTTACAAAGCTACTTTTTTGGATTGAGACTGTGTGGCTAGATGCTACGCAAAAGTCAAGGGGTTTTGTTGTTTCTACAACCTATTGCTGTGCTGCACATTTTTGATTTCCTGGTCCACCGAAACATATGGGTGTGTATGGTAACCGTATGCATCAAATTCACAAATTCTAATGCACCAAAATGAAAAGTAAGAATTTTTGTCTTTCCGTTCAATCTGAATTTATTTGAATTTGTAAGTTTTCAATGGTGAATATGTTGGAGTAATGTAGTTGGCGTAATAGAGGGCATTCGCCAAATGCGCAAACTGACATCTTGAAAGCATCACAGAAATGAGTGCCTTTTCCAACAAAGCATTGAAATTTTAAGGGAATATAAGGTGATATAACCTAAAGTACCTACTTACACGAGATCCATACTATGGGCTGTTATTGACAATAATTTAGCTCTAATTTCATAGGCCCGATCTAAATATAAGGAAATTGATGACATTGTAGAATACGCTCCGTATAAGGTTGGATAATATGGTGAGGGATATCAAGCTTCAAAATGTTAACCAATATACTCTCTTGGTTTTTGGACATTCCAATTGGTTACCTCAACTATAATGACCATAAGATCATCTTGGTTAGGATTTACTCCTACAAAATCATCATCAGAAAACATTCTCATGGAGATATGATCATCATTAGAAAACATTCTCATAGAGATATGATTATTGGGTTGGCAAGAGTTTGGATTGATATTGTTTATAGCTCTTAGATGTTGTTTTCTGGCAGAGTTGGTGCTTCCTCCTCCTACAACCCTCTTGCAATCATACTAATTATCCTTCTTGTTTTATTTTTCTTGATGTTGCCAACTTCTTGTTGTGTGGTTGGATTAGCTCCATGTTGTTCATTGGGACGATTTTGTCTGTCTGGTCCTCATCCTTATCCTCATCTTCTATCTTTGCCTCGGTAACCACCTCAGTGATTTTGATAATGTTGGACACATTGTCCAACTTGTGTCTCGCTTGGATTAGTTTTTCAATTTTGTCCTACAATGTCCAAAGTTCCTCTATGGTATGTCCTTGATTGCAATGAAATTGACAATATTTGTTTTTATCAGCATTTGGTGGATTATCTTCCGGCAGAAGTAATGTAATCAAATCTGCATCGTGAGCTTCTTCTAATAAATTAACATATGAAGCATTCCCTCACTGTGGGCAAGGCTTTTTAAACTTGATGTCCCTGGTGATTTTTAATTTGTCTTTTCCAGTGTTTGATTCACCCTTTTGACAAGGGAATATTGTGTGCCTTGTTATGAAACTCAACATGTTCTTTCATTTGAATGTTCGAAGTTCATCCATACTGGTTGGTTCCCTTTTACACGAACTGTTCATGAATGGTCTTGGTTTGAGAGCCATCATCAACATGAAATGAAGGGTAACTTCATGATTTTGGTTGCAGACTTTGATTCATAAGGCTGCAAAGTGCTCTATAAATTTGTGTAGTGACTCATCTTCTCCTTGTCGCATGTTGGTCAAAGCTGCTACAATGATATGATGAAGATGACTGGTGGCATATTGTGCTCCGAACCTCTAAATCAAGGTGGTAAAAAAGTCAACCGACTTCAAAGGTAATTGAGTATACCAACATAAGGCTGTCCCTTTCAATACATGATAGCATCGTCATTTGTATACAAATTCATCTAGGTGATGTAAGCATCAATATGCTCCTTAGGGTAGGTGATTTCATCATATCGTTCAATACTCAACAGTTTCCAACCTATTGGAAGAGGAACTTCCATGATGTCATCCGTGAACGTATGTCTTCAAATAGTTGTTTAACCGTCATGGTGATAAATTGGATCATAGTTTGGATGCCAAGAATAATGAACATTACTGTGAGTAGCAACAAACTTAGGTTAATGATGGTTAGGCTGATAGGTTGGATCGTAAGTTGGATGTCGAGAATGATGTGGTTGATGAGTATTGGGATGGTAGGTTGAGTCATAGCTTGGATGTTGAGAATGATATGTGTTGCTATGAGTGACGACATGCTCATAAATTCGGGTAGGAGTATGGTGTCCTTTATCATCATGTGTGTTGGCATTTGTAGAATTGCGAGGTCACCCAAATTGTACTTTGATATTGGCATTTTCTGGTCGTAATGCTTGTAAGCCAGCTTCATGTTGACGATGCATGGCTTCAAGGGCTTCCTCATTCTGACGTTTGCCCTATCCTTCATAGTTGACATTCCATTTCCTTCTTGTTTCGATGTTTCTCGTACTTGGCTTCTACTTGATTCCATAAGTGATCAAAGGAAAGTTTATTACGGTCCCAGGATAAATGCTAAAATGTTCTTACCAAGAACTAGGTTCTCATTAATCTACTTCTTCACAAGGTCTTCATTAGCAATCTCTGAATATGAACGATAACTCATCCATTCCAAGGTTCTCCGGGGAAGGTTAGGTACCTACAAAAGAAATTTCAAAAATCAAGTTATTTCATCTTACGTCATAGAATGGGTAGTTATATAATCTAACCTTATAGATTGTCCAATTCGATCTTATAAGCTGGCAATCCAACCTTATAGGCTAGCCACTACGCTAACCAAACAGTTAAGGGTATAATGGTCATCCATAGGGAACAGAAGCAGAATCATGCACACTTATTTTTCAGACAAATCAAACTCTTCTGATGGGAGCCTCCCCAGTACTACTTTGTAAAATTGAATTCTGATGAGGCCATTTCTCCCCCAATCTGGCTATGCTACAGTAAGGGGGCTTGTTATAGATGAAAATGTTCACTTCATAATTGTCCTTGCTTGCAATATGGGGCTTTTCTCTATTGTCAAAGCTGAGTTTTGGGCGATCAAACATACCCTCAACCTGGCTAGCAGTCGTGGTTTTGAACATGTGGAGGTGGAATTGGATTCTCAAATGGCTATCCATATGTTACTCAACCCTATCACCCTTGTAATGCCCTTGTTATGGACATCCTTTTAGGAAATATAACCTCCGATATGTTTATAGAGAAGCAAATGCTGCTACGGATGCTTTGTCTAAGTGGGTAATGTCTTTACCAGTAGATATTTAACTCTTCGGCAGTTTTATTTAGTGAGTAGCTTTCACTTTGGCCTCTAGATCTGTCTTATAATCAACAAAAAATAAATTATCAACAAATTGTGAGAGTCCCGTCTACATTAATTTTCACATAACTCTCTGTAGGAGGTCTCCAATGAATCCAATGTCCCTGCATGTTGGAAGTATTCACCCGAGAACAGTACAATCCCCATTTTGCATGTTGGAAGGATTCAACAGAATTAGTTATAAATGATTAAGACAGTGAAAGAGGCATGTGTTGTTAGGATGATACTCATCAATGAACAAATCAAGATGGTATTTTCCCATTTTTTATACTTTCAGCTGTTGTTGGAACGTAAACAGGAGAACAAACTCTATGCTAGTATCCTATATCACTTGCACATAGTTTGTTGTTTTATATTTGATATAATAGAATAGACATTTTTTTAAGTTCTTTTGCTATTCTGTCATTCTCTATCGCACCATCATATTATGTTGAATATTATTCATATGTCAAGCTAGGATTTCCAAAGCAAAAACTGTATTATCAGTTCAGCATGCACCCCATATAACACCATTTTCTTCCAAAGTCCCCGATACATTATCCCCATAAATTTTGAAGGTGATATTAATACCTTTCCATAAAAACATAAGAGAAGAAATAAGAGCATAAAATTACCCAAACTTCTTTTGTAAGTTAAATCAATTTATGCGCTATAACTTTTGTAAAGGTTAAATTAAAGAGCTTTTATAAAGGCTAAGGAGCATAAGATAATTAACTTATGAAAGAAGGTTGATTCATTTTATCTCTTTATTCTTCTAATAATTTATACAAGAAGGTTGATTCACTTGATCTCTTTTTATTCATCTGCCATGAGGATTTGTTGAGAAGTTTATTCAAACCAAACCATTCTCATATATTTGCGCTGCATAGAGACTTACGCAACCCGTGCGTACGCATTTCATCTGTTCAGGCTGTCACCTTCAGCTCCAAACATCATATTACAGCAAATTCTAGCTAGAAAGAAAAAAAGCTAGATAACAACTGTGATTCCTGCGTTTGGAGAGTTAACATATTATTTTTATGTGTTAGACCTGTTGTGAAACAAAGGGTAGCGTGCAAATTTGAATGTCACCTCCAAACATGGATCTAATACTGTGGTATACAGATTGCATAAACATGATATGGCAGATCCAGATGATGAATGGGAAAAATCAGACTGCAAGTTGCATAAACCAAATTTGCTTGGAACAATAAAATAAAGCAATGCACAAAATCTCCAGTATCATTATTGATTCAACGGGAAAATTATCCATGATATTAACAACTAGTTCTTTTAACCAAAACTTAAAACAAATGCATAAATGCTGGTTATCGAAAAGGAAGCTTGACTACCTATAAAAAATCCAAAGAAACAATAAACAGAGATAACAAATTTGCGTACTCTATCACCATCCCTACCAAAACTCCAACATCTTCCACCAGAGAGGGAGGGTCAGTTTTGCATCCACTGCAAAATGTCCTTCCTAATAACACCCCCTGACCAATTCACTCCGTAATTTGATCCAACAATTTCAGGCATAGAGACACTGAAGTGCCTGCCATGGACGGTAGTCCCAGCCGGATTAGACGGTCGCATCATTCTCCCAATTGTCGGAAAAGGCCTTGTCCATGATGATGAGGTACACAAATGCCTATCAGAATCCCTCCTGGACCTTCCTGAAGCCTTGTGGTTGGAAGAAGTGCCACCTGCTGCAGCATCCTTTCCCACTCTTCCTCCTGACCCACAATTCGACGGCGGCGGGCCCCGAATCTGAGCCGATGGCTTCATTCGATCCAGCCATCGCAATATAAAGTTCCCGAAATTCCGACCCACTTCTATGTCCCTTTCTTGAATGTTCTGATGCACACTGAGAGCTAAATTAAACACACCACGAGTCCGTCTGTGAAACACAACAATTACGCATTGCAAAATTTTCAAGTTAGAGCCTACACTCAGTGATCAGCATCATCATTCAGGCTAACAGGTAAATTTATTTAGAAGCACTTCTCAAAGAGAAAATTACAAAAAAAATCTTATGCATATCGATATTATCCTTCTAAATGTTGGATCTGAGGTCCGTACATAAATAACAAATTCAATTTCGAAATAACACAAAGAAACACTCTCTAATTGCAGTTCCTAATCTAGAGATGTTGGCGAGGAATTGGAAACATTGAAACCGGGAGAAGCACATGATGTGATTTGTCCGGCGGAAGAGAAATATAATATGATTATTATTGGTGAAGGAAAAGAATAGCATTGGGAATGGAACCTGTGAAGGAATTGGCGGAGCTTAGGGTACTTAGGGTTGACGATCCTGCGCTGAATCCTGAGAGCGAGCCTGTAAGTTCGCTTGAGACCCAAGAAATACGCAGTTCCGAGCGTTATCTCCCACAGCACCATTGAATTGAACCTCTACAACTTTCTCTCTCTCTCTCTCTCTCTTTTGATTTTGTGATTGTCGAGATGCAATTTTGACGATTCTTTTTCCTGTCGCCCAAGTTTCTATTCCGCCTCTCATTGGCACTCCAGAATTTTCGTTGGCGGTCACGCTCTTTACGTTTTCCAGTTCTCCTCGTCTCGCTGCTACTGTGCCAGTTGGACTTTGCGCTTCCCATGGCCTTCTATCTCTGGCCCGGCCCAATCTCTAATTGCCTGGAGAATGGAGTCTTTTTTTTTATTACACATTTATGTAATAAAATGCATTCTTAGGAGTACTTGATTAAAACAATAGTTTATACTTATAGCACGTGGAAAACAAGTAATCTAGTTATTTAAGTGATATTTTACGTTCCTTTAAATATTAAGCATTTTTTATTATTATTATTGTGCGTGTGTTAGATCGTTTGGTTGCTTACTCTTCTATATTCTTGATGCGTGAAGAGAGCAAGTAACTTTACCTACGATCGACTTTTTATAACTAATAAATTTCCTAGATGCTATAGATTTGATAACAATTTAGTATAAAAATAAAACAAACTGTATTTGACGTAGAAATAATTAATTAAGCAAAATCAAATAATTTATGTTATGAGAAGAAAAACAAAATTATAATTTTTTTTTTAAATATTCCTCGCAATACTTTCTTAAAAAAACCAAATTTATTTATTTTTAAAGAATTATACATTTCCTGTATTAATATTGGAAAGGTTAACTATAAAACATTTTAATACTGAATTATTCATCACCAATAACATATATGAATGATATCCCGGAACATTTAATGATTATCTATTTATTAGTAATTTGATAATATAGTTACTCAGTTCAAAACACGAACGATAGAAAGATGTTGAAAATTAATTTACAAAATTTTTTAATTTTTTATTTATGAAAATTAATAAGATTTACAACAATTCTCACACCATGTTGCTAAAACCTCTTATACAAAAATCTTTTAATACATTGTACAAACTAATTTTTATGTGTTAAAAATTTAGATGACTTTGTAAATTAAATTTTGAAAGTTAAAGTTTTAACTCAGTATAAGAAACTAATTTTTAAAAGGCACTAAAGTGTCTTTAAAGGTGTGTTTGATTTATGGTGCTAAATAAGATATAAACAATAGATTTGCATTTGATTTGTAGAAGGTCATGAATTATGAATTTATGATAAAGAAGAGGATGAATAATAACAAAAAAAAATCACATTTTATTACTTAAAAAACCATAAACAACCTTGTGTCTCATGTAATAAAACATTTACTACAATTTTATTAAATGAATACCACTAAACCCTTATTCATTATCACCTAACACCATTATTATTGTCATCATCCATCAGTGCTCCTCTTTATCATCATTATTGGTACCTTCATTACAATTGTTATCATAGGCATAACAATTTTCACCATCATATTGTCCCATTAAAATAATAATAATAATTTTCTATGCTAATTAATATTAAAAATATTATTATAATAAAATTAAAATTAATTTGTTTGTATTGTTCATTATTCATAAAAGAAATTACAAAACAAAAACTTGTCAAGTAACTTAAGCACTTGTTGTATGTTGTTTTTACTGCCTTAAAATTTATTTTAAAATATACTTAAAAGTGTTTTTGAAAGTTTATTTACCGAAAACTATTCTTTATTTTTAGTAGATCAACTCTCAAAAAATACATATAACTTATATCAAACAGACTCTAATACCTTAATATGTATTAAATGCATCATAAAGTGTACACTAAATTGTGTTGCGTCTTATTAAGACTTACCTCTACATTGTCATTATATTCCTCCATTATTCTTACAACCTAAAATGCTTATGATAATTTATATTAAACTTAGTTGTGGAATAAGTTTATTATTTTATTTGTGTTAAAGAATGTTCAGAACACTTTTTTAGTTGAAGTTTATTGAAAATCATACAATTTGATGAATCTCACTTCTAAATGAGGAGAAATTTATACGTTGAATCCATTAAAATTTGTTACTTTTAATAAATTTTTATTTATAACAAAAATTATAGAAAGAGAGTGTTAGATATATTTTTCGTATCATTTCTTTGTTTTTGATTGCTACTATGGAGGATTTGTGTCTTTCATTTGATTTTGGGCTTACACGGGCTTGATTCTAAATTTATAATAATCTTAATTGTCACTTGTCTCTTTTAAAAGCCTTATGTCTTTGGTTGTACTGACTTCTTGATGTTATATCATCAATGAGGCAAGCAAAGGAGGAGAAAACATACAACAAAAGTTAATGCAAATATTTTCTTAACTTCTTAACATGCTCTCAAGACACCAAGTTAAACAACTAAAAGAGAATATTTGTGAAAAAAATATTTTAAGATATTCATGATAATTTTATTTTAATTACTCATGAATTGTGCATGATATTGTTTCCCAGTCTAAGAATTGTTGATGATATGGAAGAAGTTATCTGGGCCCAGTTCACTACTTTGACGGCCTTTTATTTGTTTTTCTTCTAATTTTGAGCTAATGTGGGCTTGATTTGAACAATCTTAATTGGTTTATGATATATACACTTCCTTTCCTTTTTTCTATAAGTACACTTCCTTTTTTTAAAAAAATAATTAAAATTTAAAATATTCTTAATTTTTTTTATTTTTTAATTTTGTATTTTTTAATTTTACATCCATAATATTTAATTTAATTTTTTTTTTCACATATTTTCTCTCATTTTTTTAATTTTTACATGCACTCATTTACCTTTCTTTCACCTCACCTATTTTGGTAGCATGTGAAAACTAAAAAAGAAAAATAGTATGTGAAAAAAAAAAAAAGAAAATAACAAAATGAAAGTTAAAAATATAAAATTAGATTTTTTTTATAAAAAAACTATAATATTTTATAATTTAAAAAAAAAATAAAGGAGGTGTGGTTATTAAAAAAGGAGGTGTATATATCATAAATCATCCTAATTATGTCTTGTGGGCTCCTACGACAGCCTGGTGTTTTTTGTTGTAATTGCCACTTGGTGACATATCATTAAATGAGGCAAACCAAGATGGGAAAAAAAAATATCACCAGCATTTTGTTGTTTACTAAAACTGACATCTCAAACAAGAACTGAACTAGATTTCATCCAGGTAATATTTTATAATATAAATAAATAAATGAAATTATCATTCAAAATTCAACAAACTTGTTTCACTTTCAAGTCATCATTTTAACAAGGTTTAATGTTGTTTTTATCTCTAATATTATAATTGCATAATTACTCTCTAAAATTAAATTTAAGAAACTAAAATCGCATGATTTAATTTTTTTTTAAAATCTAACAAATATGATAAGTTTAATGCAATATAATATTAAAGGAAAAACTAATAAAATTATAAAGGGGTTGCTACTGTACCCCTGATAAATGAGGGGTTTTGGTACTGTAGCTGATGTGTATCTGATATGTATGTACACATCATTTAAATGTCAATTAGTTTATATTTAAATTTTTACATTATTTATTTTTAAGTTTTTATTAATATTTTTATAATTATACGATCTCCTCTCCCCTCCGTCTCCCACCTCTCCCCCGCCCCTCCGTCCGTCTCCACCTCTCCCTCTCCCTCTCCCCTCCGTCTCCCACTCCCCTAACCTGGATCATTTCAGTAGTATTTATTGAAAAGTTGCTTATAACCTTTAAAAATTAGAACAGATTGGAGGGTCCACTTACTGCTATAAGCCTCAAATTTCGTACTGAATCTCCTAAAGCGCTCCAGAGTTCTTTGAACAAATTACTTTGTCTGTAGAAGGATGATAAGTCACAAGAGGAAATGGATTTAGAAAAATCAAACAAACATCATAGAAATAGCATATCTCAAATTATTGACATCTGCAGTTTGATTTATCCATAAAATTTGCTGAATCATTTCAATCTCTTCCTCTGAAAAATGAAAATAAAAAGGAAAAACTCATCTATGAGGACATGATTCTAAACGCCCGAGGACCACCACGCCCGCCCCAACGTCGCCTCCGCCGGCGACGGGGCCACAGAAAGAACACAGGCCTATGCGTCCTGTCCGGGTCGGGAACCGTCACCAACGTCACTCTCCGTCAACCCTTTGTCACCCCCGACGCCACCGTCACTTTCCACGGCCGCTTTGATGTCCTCTCCCTCTCCGCCACGCTCCTCCTCCACGACTCGCCGGCAATCTCGGTCTCCGCCTTCGCCGTCTCGCTCACCGGCCCACAGAGAGGGAAGAAACACAGAAGCAAACATTCCGAAAAAAAAAATTAAAAACATGAACTTCATATTAACTGACGCGGATGTAAATTTTAAATAATTAAAAAATTATAAATAATTTAGATTTATACATAAGTGACATATCATCAACAGTACCGGTACCCATTTTTTTATAGTGGGTACCGTAGAAATTCTCAAATTATAATTGGATATATAGTGGTGCAAAGACGTGGGAGAAGCTGAGAGGAGGCATTAAAAAAAGCAGAAAAATAAAAGCGAAAGAGAGGATAGGGAAAAAGGTTAAAAAGCAAAAAACGAAAGCGAGGAGTGAAGGAAAAGAAAAGGGCAATAAAAAAGGACGAGCTGAACTGCTGAAGCCACTGAGCATTAAAAAATAATAAAATAAAAATAAATATAGAAAAGGATAGTAATAGATTTATTCATTCATTCATTCACATTTCACAGTAGTAGCAATTGCAACGAACACTCACCACGCTCTGCCTCGGTGTGTCCCTATCTCATTACGCCGTGGCACCCTCTTCGTGACACCATGCACAGACAATCCCTGGGCTCTCCGTCTCCCAAACCCTCCAAGGAAGAGACGCTCCTCGACGATGCACCAAAGCCTCACCGCCTCTCCTCGCCGCCTCCTCCGCCGCACAAGTTCATCCACCTCATTCCCCTCCTCACTCTCTTCTGCTTCTTCGTCCTCTACCTCTGCTCCCACACTCCCTCTCCCACAGGTATTACTACGTCTACTTTTACTGCATCCTTCAATTTCTCATAATCTAAATCTAAATATAAATCACTCGCTTCCTCATTTCAGACTTGAATCATTTCGCCGGACTCAACCGCACGCCGTCGCATCGTCTAGGTACGCTCAACCGCAATGCATTTTCGATTTCTTTTCTATTTTTTTCAATTGATTATTGTTTTTCGATCTGTTTTCGCGTTAGATTCAGCGGCCAAGATCGGCGGCGACATTGGACAGTACATGGATGTAAAGAGAAGCGATGTTTTGGCGATCCGAAGTTTGCAACAGATACCGAAATCTCGCCCTCACAGGAAACTCGCCGATTTTTAAGCTCGCACGCGCACCTTCTCCACCTCCAGTTTCCACACGTGCGCGGTTCTCTCGTTGATCCATTCTATATTCTTGTTCCTGTTGTACATTCCATTTGCTTTAATTTATCGCTCATAAAAAAATAAAACAAAATAAAATCGAATTCACCTTCATAGATCCTCCATTTTTTTTAGCATTTGTTTGTTTTTGTTTTCTCGAGCGAGCGAGCGAGTGAGTGAGTGAGTGAGCCGTGTTCCGGCGCATGGTAGCAATGCGTGCGCCGGGTGATGTTGAATACAGCTGGAATTGGGGACCGTTACTGCAGCCTCGGGTTGCGGTTAAGTGCCAGCTGGAAATAGCAGTGTTTTGATGATGATGTGAATTCGCGTCAGGTGTGTGTTGGCTATGTTAGCAACAGAACGGGATTAATTGTTCCCGTTACGGCGTTACCTCTGGGTGCATGGGAAATCCGCGCAACCAGGTTTTGCCGTGGGTGGGGTACACGTGAGTGGGTACACTGTAAGCTGCAAAAGTGTCGGTGCTTATGAGTTATGACACAATTACTCAAATGAAAGTGCTTGGACGCCTTCTCGTTCTTGCTTGGTGTGGGAAGTTTTAGAAAACGTCGTCGTGGCAGGAATGAATGATGGGGTATGATCGGGTGCAGGCGATGATGGTGTGTCTGGCACGTGGGACAAGGACAAGGGGGGTTTGATTGGCTGGTGCCTAATCATATTCAAACATAGGATAGGGATGATATATACGATCAAATTATGGATAATGAATATATTGCTTTTCCTACTTCCGTAATCGTTTATCCTGCGTTGACGATATCCATTGTGAGACACGTATCAAATTATGCACCCACTGCTGGGGACCCCGAGATACTACAATAATTATTAACAATGTAAATAAATAATTTGCAAATTCCTATGTATCTAACATCATTGTAACAATTTTATATATTTGAAATACTATTACATTATACATTAAGTTAATATAATCAAATATTGTCTACTTTTGAAATATGTAATATTTAATATAATTAATCTATTCATAAAATTAACAGAAAATTTGAAATAAATAAAGTTTAATTTTACAAAAATAAAGTTGTTAAAAATGTCATTTTATCAAGTTTAGTACTTAATTTCATTTGATCTTATATATATATATATATATATATATATATTTTTTTTTTTTAATTTTTTTTTTTATTTTTTTAAGTACGTGTCAGGCTTGTTGAGTACTACGCATTGTTCATGGTAGCTTAGTTTTGACTTAGGGATTACAACGAATGGGTATAGGTTTTAGTTTTTACAATACTCGTCTTCATGTCTGTTTTTTATCTGATACCCATTTTCCTCGTCTCTTTATTCGATGGCTTTGAAATTTGTATTTCCATTTATGCTTCCAGGTGTTGGATATAACGTGTACTTGTTCTATATTTGTCTAAAATTATTTAAATATTTTTTTTAAAAAATATAAAATATAAAAAAATTAACATAGAGTAACAATTATTATAAAATTATAATAGTTAAGTTTTATTTCATATAAATTTAAAATAAAGTAAAAATTACATAAATGTTAAGTAAATTTTTTTTTAAAATAAATTAAATTTTTAAAAATTTAAGTTAAATATAAATATAGTTACAAGTATAATTATGAGACAAGAAGTGTATATCCATCTCAGTCTTTGTATTTGATTTAATAAATCGAGTATTATATATATTCATACTTGTATTTGATTAAATCAAATATTTATTATTAAAGTTTGGATAAATTTGAATATTACTTATGAATACGAGTTTAATTATTATTTTTTGTTTTGACACTTCAATTTTATTTATTTTTACATCAATTGTCTATTTTAACACAATTATTATGGATAAAATTAGTAATTTTAAACTTTAAAGAGATAAAATCAAATAAAATTATTTATGTAAGGAGTAATTCAAAAATTGTTTATTTACAAAAATCCATAATAGTACATTCAAATTTTAAGAGAATTGAAAAATAACGGTATATTTTATTTTATGAAAAACTAAAATCAAAATTTATGTTCACCAAAAAAAATCAAAAATTTATTTATTTAATAGAAATTAAAATATATTTAAATTATTTAAAATTCATCATTGGTGAGTTTAAAAGTCAATGGAAACATGTGCCTATCACTTTCTAATTAACCGTATAACTTCATTCGTAAAATAATTACTTTTTGTACTATTATTGATTTTTAAATGTGCGTACGAACAAGACTTCATTAGGAGAGATAGAATAGAAGAGATAAAATTTACTTTTGGTAAACCTTAGGAAAGAAATTAGTTTTTATTATTGAGTTTGAAAATATTCTTGCTTTACACAAGAAATATAATGATTTACACGAGTCTTGGTAAAATTGTCAATTTATAATAAATTATGTAAAATATAGATAAGGCAAATTATTCTTTTAGTTATTTTCTTCTTTAATTAATTCAATTTAGTCATTTTATAGTTAAAATGTTTAATTTAATTTCGTAAATTTTTAAAAATGATATAACATTGTCATTTCTGATTAATTCAAACTAATGGTGTTACTTCCTTGAACACGTGATATAATTAAAGTAACGTCCTTGGTTTTTGATGATTTCCTGAATCCTTCGATGACCTTTGGCGTTAGTTGCTCCTCGGATGTTCCATGCAACCAGGTTCATATCCTTAAATTTTGACATCCTGATCAAATGATCCCATCATCGGGACAATGTGAATCCGTATATATATATATATATATATATACTTTCTTGCCTAATATATCTAACAAAAATGAAATAAAAATTAACTGAAAGAATAAAGTAAAGCACACCGATCATGATTTTTTTTATGGCAAAATAAAAAATGCAAAGAATAGGTCATAGACTCATAGCAAGAACAATTTAATTAAAATTTTACTGTTGCATTAACGCTGAAAATTATGTAAATTAACCAATAAATTAATATTTTTTAAAAATAAAACAACGCTGAAAATTTTAGCTTAAATTAGTTTTTTCGTTGAAGATGAAAAAATAAATATTCTTTTATTAATTAAGCTTTATGTAGCCGATTATTTTTAACTTATTGTCATAATTTGCAGTAAAAAAATTGTCATAAGTAAAATAAATGTGTAGTGCTTATTTATTTGATTTTTTTTATAGAAAATTTATTATTTTTTACATATTTATTGTTCCAAAATTATAATAGAAATAAGTTAACTAAAAATATAAAGTTGTATAGTTAATTATAGGATCAACAAAGTAAGGTGAAAATTCTGTTGAAAACTTTAGTACTGGAGTAAAATTTGGTTGGAGTTTTTGAATCTCATGTGACATTATAGGATTCATAAAATTAAATTAAGAACTCATTTAAGAACATAAGCTTTAGAAAATAGAACGTCCTGTGATCACAATTTACACGAACTCAGTGTTTGCAAAATTATGCAAAGTCACGAATTGACGTACAAATGGTAAAGATTCTAAGCAAATTTCCCCTTAAAAATGTTGGCTCGAATCTCTTAAAAGTTAAATTCACTTAATTCCATCTGTACCTGTCTGAGGGCACACTCGTATTCTTCAGTGGGAAAGGGCCGAACGAGGGTCTTCAGGTGGACTCTTCTGCGCGAGGGGAAGGTACCTGCAAAAGGCACTCCGACGCTCAAGTAAGGACAAACACGATATTCTAGGATAATTAATGAACAGTAACATACCTTGACAAAAGTGACCTATTTATACTACCACTGATGGGCCTTGTTAGTAGTGGGCCTCTCCTGAGGTTTACCAAATTAGGTAATACGATGCTAATAGGCTAATTATGCCTTAATCACGCACTTATCCTTATTAACCACGATGAAGGCTCTACTTATTGCCTCCTCATTCGGCTCGGCCTTAGACTGTGCCGTTACGCGTTTGCTGCGCTGAACTGCTTGCTCGGGGCTTGTCCGAGCCGGTCCGTGACCTGCAAAGATGTCTATGGTTCTATTTGTATCGGCCTCAAGCCGAGCCGTTCGTGCTATCAGGCTCACTTCGGCCTTCGGTTATAGCCCGAGCCGACGCTTGAACTGTTGGAACGATGCCTCACACTCCGGGGTCCATTTGAACCGTTCAGCTTTCTTCAGTAAAAGAAGGATAGGTCTAGCTATCTCGGCCAGGCAAGGAAGGAACCGAGAGAGGGAGGTGAGTCGGCCTGCTAACTTTTGAACCTCCTTCAGAGTACTTGGACTTTTCATGTCTAGGATGGCCTGACACTTGTCGGGATTTGCCTCAATTCCTCGGCTGGACAGCATGAATCCTAAAAATTTACCGCCTGAGACTCCGACACACACTTCTCGGGGTTGAGTCTCATTCGGTGGTGCCGAAGCGCCTGAAACACCTCGGTCAAATCTTGTGCATGTGCCGACACTGTACTTGACTTCACCACCATGTCATCAACGTACACCTCCATGCTTCGGCCAATTTGATCATGAAAAATTTTATTCATTAATCGCTGATATGTGGCTCCGGCGTTTTTTAAGCCGAACGACATTACTCGGTAGCAGTAGTTGGCCGTTTCAGTAATGAACGCTGTCTTTTCTTCGTCTTGAGGGTGCATACGGATCTGATTATATCCTGAGTATGCATCAAGGAAGGACAAAAATCTGTGGCCGGATGCCCCGTCAACAAGTCGGTCAATGTTGGGCAAGGGATATGCGTCCTTAGGGCATGCCTTGTTCAAGTTGGTGTAGTCGGTGCACATGCGCCACTTCCCGTTCGGTTTCTTGACCATGACTACGTTGGCCAACCATGTTGTATAATGTACTTCTCGGATGAACCGAGCATCTAATAGCTTTCCCACCTCAGCTTCGATCGCCGCCTTCCTTTCCTCTCCGGCCTTCCGGCGCCGTTGAGCGATCGGCCTTGCCTGCTTGCTCACTGATAGCTCGTGGCAAAGAAAGTTGGGGTCAATGCCGGGCATATCAAACGGGTACCAGGCGAATAAGTCACTGTTTTTAAGGACCGCTTGCTTAAGGGCCAGGCGCTCTTGTTCAGATAAATTGGTCCCGAGGTAGGTGACTTGAGCCCCGGACACCCCCGCCTGGATGGGTTGTTTGTCTTCAATAGGCTCGACCCTCTCATCTTGATCAATCCGGGGGTCGAGGTCTAAGGCCGATTGTTGTGATACCGAATGTACCC